AGCATCTTCTATTTTACAAGAAATTGAAAATTTTGTTTGGGAGACGGACATGCAAAGTAACCTTATTTTCGGCAAATCAAATATCCAGAGCTCAGTAAATTAAGAACTAGAAATAAACCACACTCATTAAAAAAAGAATCTAAAAGATTACCGGACTCGAAATGGACTTGGGACTCGGACTCGATCCTTAACGTTAAGGACTCGGACTTGGCACCCCCTCGGATTCACCCATGTTTGATACATGAACATGTTTCAAAAGTTTTTCACACATAAAACTATTATTACAGCTTCTAGATAATATATTCAGATTAGAACAATAGAGATTTCAACAAATAATTTTCGATTAAATCAATAATAAATTAAAAATGGGTTCACAATGTGGGTTAATTATACTTGGTAACACTGGAGTAGGTAAGTATAATGAAATTAATTAAACTGTGAAAAGAAAAAGACATAAAAACACTTTTTTTGTATTTCTTTTAGGCAAATCATATTTAGCCAATATATTATTAGATCGTGATGTATTCAAACATGATTGTAACCCCGGTTCTGTTACCCATGCAACAGAATTCGAAGATATTCACATTGGTGAATCAAATTATTCTATATTTAATATTCCTGGATTAATTGAAGCTGATCAACAGAGGATTGATTTAAATAAATGTGAAATACATAAAGCATTTCAATTACGTCCAAATTCAATTATCATTTTTGTATTTGGTGGTGGTTCTGGTGGTCGAATAAATGATGAAGATGTAATTGCATTTAGATCTATTAACAAAGCATATGACTTTACACGTAAATCATTATTACTTTTTGTTAATGATTTACCTAATGGGCGTAAATCAGAGTATGATGGTGAAACAAAAATTAGATTAGAAACATTGTTAGGTAAGATTAATAATTGATTGCTACTGCGCATTCAGAGAGTGCATTTGTTTGATATACGGACACGATCACCAATTTCAAATGCAGTATCTGTATTAATACTATCAACATACGATAGTACTTTCTAATTGTTGTATGGTAACATTTCGACTTATCATTGAAATGCTGGATGTGAGTTAAATGCGCCCAAATGTAGAGTGAGATACTCTCTACGAAATGAGACCCCACCTAACTCTCTCCATAACTGTTTATAAACTACATTTTTCTTTGAAAACAAATAAGTCAATATAATCACAAATCCGATTATTATCAGTGGATCCAGGAAAGTACAGGATAATAAATAAGCATACAAAATTATTGTAGCATCTTGAAAACATATGATTTTTCTAACGACGTAACTTTCCCAAGTATGAAATCGCTTTTGAGTTGAAATCTAGTGGGTTATAGGTAATCGATGTTGCTGATTCCGAATATCACCATACCGTTTGCCACTAGGTCTTCCCCGTTTTCTGAAACACCAGTTTTTCAGAAACTCTAAAGAATAATCACAACCTTTCTTAATGAGGGATGATCGTGGTCCGAAAATTTCTGATTAAAATGAGAAGTTAGTTCTACACGACCTTTCCTTGCAAAGTTATAGAATTTACAAGAAAAGCCCTAATTTAATTTCTTATTTCTGTAGTCTTGAGCTAACAATGAATATTTAGGGCTTTTCGTGTAAATTCTGTAACTTTGCAAAGAAAGATCATGTAGAAGGTCATTTTAATCAGAAATTTGTGGGTTGCAATCAGGCGCATTAAGAAAGGTTTTGGTTATTTTTCAGAGTTTCTGAAAAACTGTTTTTCTAGAAAATGGATCATTGAAGGCCTAGCGGCAAACGGCACGGTAATATTCGGAATCAGCACCGTCGATTACGTATAACCCACTAGATTTCAGCTCAAAGTCGATTTCACATTTGAGGAAATTACCTCGTAACCTTTTCATTTCACTTTTAGAAATTTCTACTTATGTCCAAACGATGGATTAAGTTTTTTCAAGCATGTTATCGTATGTTATCTACGCCAACTAGCGGCACTGATAATATGTTGTTGATGACGATATCTATCAAGAAAGGAAAAACATTATCAGTTATAATCGCAATCGATGCATACCGGCCTTCTATAACGATCATGGTCAACAGACTTTCATCAACATAAAGCGTCTCACAAGTTCTGAAACGATTTCTAGAACGATGAATTTACAAATCTTTTTAGAAAAAAAATCCTTACTATACCAAACGATAGACAATTTAATTCTCTACAAGAGTATACATTCATTTTTAAGATGCATCTTTGATGTTTGGCACAGAAAAGCTCCAAGTTTTTAAACTGCCAAAACCACACAGTTATAAAATGCAAACTGCTCTCTGTTTTTGATTGCTTATAATGAGTACACAAAATTTTGAAATAATTTTATTACAGTCAAATGGTGAAAAATTTCATACTTTACAAAAGCGTTTACTTGAAGGAAATTTATTTCAATGAGAGGATTTCCAAATAACAGAAAAGTGCTTAAACGAATAGATTGTAACTTAAAAGTCAGGGCCTAGAGGTTATTCACCATGCCAAATCCAATGGTAATATTAGTTTTGGCTTTCATAATGGGGCTCCAGAAAATCTGGATTTTGAGCTTATAGATCTTGAAATTATTTTTATAAAAAATTCTATGATATTTATTCAATACGGTCATCGAATAGAGCACATTACACCCTATCCAAAAACTGATTTTGATAAAAATAAAAATATATTTTTAGGAATTTTGAGAGGTTTCTTGAGGAAAAAATAAAGTTTTCTGTAGTTCTTCTCTAGTAACAACAGCTGGTTGTTACTAGAGTTAGTTAAAAGGTTAAAAGTTAAAAGTTAAATGGTCTATAAACTAATGATTTGAACGTTGAATTTTATACTGGAATGGTCAAAACGTTTTTTTAGTGCTAGAAACTTTGGTGGATTTGGAAATTTATGTACTAAAGCTACTGGCAATCAGCGGATTTCCAATAAGAGAAAACCAAGCTAAAGGTATTCTAGGAGTTTTCTAGAAACCTCCAAAGGCCTTTGCGACTGTCAAAATAACTATTGCAGTTAGAATTAAACGTTTGTTTTAGATATATAGTCCAAAGTGTCCTCTACAAAACTGGATCCAAGGGATACCTTACAAATCCATGATTCGGGAGCTATGGACGTTTTCCCTGAAGCCTTAGCACTCCTCTGCCGTTAGGTTTGGGACTATCAGAAATCAATGATGACATAGATTATCGAC